CTGTTTATCTAGGCACTCATTAATTTTTCAATCAAGAACGTGTTTAGTATAAATATAGACAATACATATATTTTCCTCACTCAAATTTGTGAGCACTTGGGTGCCTTACTGCTCTTAGTAAGAACTAACAGTCTATTTGATGTTAACGTGCATTGCTGGCTACACTGGGAAAGGCTGATGAAGATACCGGTTGGCTCACACGCAACCCCTTTTTTCTGAAAAGCGCGGCTCCCAGGGGGTCTCTGTGGCAACCATACGTCTGTTAAAAGACTATCACAGTTTTGCTCGGTCTTCTCAAACCAGTTCAAGCCTTTCAATGGTTATTTACAGGTGAGATTTTCTAGACCTCTAGATTATTGTTGTTACTGAACTTTCTCTAACTAGTCCAGATCTTAAAACCTGATGCCTAGAGCAGGGCATGACTTCAGCTGTAGCTGGTTTATGTGAACTAGAGGGTTGCTTCACACACCTAGTTTTTTGTCAGCTATAGGGCGTGATATGAGAGAGGGCCTTGCATCTGAAAAAAAAAAAAAAAGAGGAAAAAAAGGTTAGTATTTTCTGAAAAGGCAATGAGACAAAATTGCTACGATTCACACAGCTCTAAGATAAGCAAGTAATAGCTCATGTTCAACAGCAAAGCATGTTCATATAGCATGAATAGGATGGATGTGTTGTATGATAAATCTAGACATAGCAAATAAATTTCAGCCTGAAAAATAAGATACCACATGAGACGGCATGTGCAGAAAGAATGCTAATGTTTAGGGAACCGAAGGCATTGGCAGAAAGGAGAGCGCAGAAATGAAGAATAGATATTTTGTTTTGTTACCAGGATTGATTGGCTGACTATTTTTTTTGTCTTTAAACCATAATAGCCTTCCCTTATTGTCAAAATGATAATATATATAAAGCACTTCCTGTAATATTTCCCTTCAAAATGACTATTCATCAGTCCCAGAGTCAGATGCTCATATTTCAACTCACAATTTAGTTTAGCAAGTTTATACTTCAAAGCAATCAGTCATTTTAGCATTTGTGTTTTTAATACAAATCTCAACTACAGAAGCACGCAGTGCTCTTAAGCATGGATAGATTGGCTAATCCAGATAGTACATTGTAATCTTCTGGCAAAGAAAGAGATTATTGCTTTTCAGAGAGAAAGAAAAAAAAAAATGAAGTATTCCTCCCAGTCTAGCAGTGCAGATCATGAAAAGATTGAGGGCAAAAGTCTCTGGTCTTCTCCTGGGCCCAGTACAGGTGTGAGAGTGTCCAGGGATAGCTGAGTGGTTTAGGTGCCTGGAGGAGAGAGTGAATGTAACGGTCGTATAGATACGGGGTCAAATCCCAGCTCCTGACACCAGCTGGGAATATGGTGAGGGGACTGACAGCGAACACCAGACATGCTCTGGTGGGCTTGATCTGCTGCTGCCCTGAGGAGTCTCCATTTGCCACTTGTTCTCCTGCTTACTCCGCAACCTACAAACACACCACAGTTTCTGGGACAACATTCTGCCGTTGCGAAAGCAGGAGTTATCTTTGGTGATATACTTGACCCTGCTGGTTTGGCCAAGTTTTCATGCTGCAATAAATCACCTTCCTCTGCGTCCCTGGTGTGACGCTGCAATGAAACGTGGGCACCACCTGCTGAACAAACGGCATTAGAAAATCATTAATCTCCATTCCATTTTTCTTTCTCACAATGCCTCTCTTATCTTGGCTGCATGGTTAAACCCTTCTTATGACTGTGGGAGGATTGTTTTTGGAGGTAGTAGCAGATAGGTGTGTTTCCACCGGTGAGGTGACCTTGCTCAGGGCACCACAGGAAATACTTCTCATCCTGGACTCAGCGTAACACGTGGGCCTGCCCCCTTCCTCCTCCTCCTCAAAGATGAATTCGATACCGTCCAAGCTGCAGAGAGTTATTTCGCTCCGGGTGGCTTGGACCAGATGACCCCCAGAGCTCCTTTCCAACCCTAACCGTTCTGTGAGGCGCTGCAGAGCAATGAGGACTGGGTTGCTCCAGTCCGGGGACCACTTACGAGCAATGAAAAATGGGAGAGTCCCGTCCCTGCCCCAGTGTTCGGGGGCAGCGCGTCAGTCTGTTGTACAGACCAACAAACTTACCCTTTTTTGGTTTCAGTATTACCTGTTCAGCAAAATACGTATTATTCTGCAAACAGAAATGTGTCATTGTGGAGGCTTTTTCAGTTTATGTCTAACTTTGCAGGCCTCTACATCTAGACATGCTTCCAAAGATTCCTCTAACTCATCTTTTAATTAGGTTTTATTTCTGTATCTTAAGAGGAACAGATCTATATTACAGCCTAGTCTTCTGAAATTGTTTATTAGAAAGTAGGCCGTAAATGCTAATTCCAAGTAACACACACACAAAAAAACCAACGTACAGTAACTCTGTGCTTAAAAAGCTGCTGTATATTGTAACAGTATTAATTTGTAGAAACAAATTGCTGAAATAACCTGACTGACAGTCTGTGCCAATAATAACACGGAATTCCAACTGTGGGCAAACACAGCATATAGTTGCTAGTGTGTTTTCTTTTTCGTGTGATAGTTGTAAGCAATTCTTGCCGGATGGGCTGATCATGTAATTAGGAATTGTTGTGTTAAATGAGGCGGTATTTAAATTGGCAACTAATTTTCCTATCTATTAACCAGCTTGAAAAAGAAGAGCTGTTACCCAAATGATTTCTAGCTGCTAATCTCTAACAAGAAACGTAGCACTTCTCTGCACCTTTTTTTAAGCACTGTCTAGCAAATTATTTTCAGTAGGGTTTATTATGTGGGGGACAAAATAAGAAAGAGAGGGAGTTAAGAGATGTTACAAGTTCAGGGGTTGTTAGATGGGGTAGACTTCTACTAAACCAGTACATCGTGATGTGTGGTAACAGCTCATGAGCCAGTAATGGGATGCTTGCTATTTATAGTCTCTACATGTGGACAAAAACCCATATTTACTTTGTGATAGTTCACTGTGTAGCATACTCCATCAAGCAGAGTAGGACTCTAAGCCCTATTTTAAGTGTGTGTGTGGGAGAAATCATGAAAGCACAGCAGGACAAGATTTTGAACGGCATGTGAATGTTACTAGTGTGGAATGGTCGCTCTCTTTATTGGGGACGGGAGAGGAGAGAAAAGAAGGGGGCACCCTCAGGTCGAGTTAAAATCCTAGAGAAGGCATGATGGCTTGTAGTTTTTCATCATGAACTCTTGCGGAGTGAGCTTTTTTGGTCTGCTGGCTCGTGCAGCAGAAGTATCAATTGCCCATTATTAAGACTTTGACTGAACCCCAGAGTAAATGTAAGGCTGAATGAGGTTGATTATTATATTTATGGCTCTATCTGTGCAAATCTTATTCCTTTTTTCTTTTTCCTCCCCATATGCTTCAGCTGAAGCAGGGATGAAGAGCCGAATAAGTTTTTGCAGCCTGGTTTCTTCTGCCCAGTGGTGAAACTTTATTGCTTGACCTAAAAGGATCAGACCCATTAACTTGGAAAAAACCTATAATGGATTTTTTTCCATGGGCCAGTCTTTTAATGGGGATGAAGATTATCTCTAGTTCAGTGTGGGTTACCCAGGGAATCACATCAAAAGCAGCAGCACAACAGGGTTGCATGCAAGCCCTAGGATTCCCACCTGAAGAAGGCTGTGTATGCTAAACCGTGTGGAGGGCTGCTTCAAAGAAATGCATTATGCACTTGTAGCCTGTGGAATTTGTTTTGTATATTTTTCTGAAAGTTACCAAAAACTCCTGACCTCAAACTAAAAACAGGAAAGAGAAATTTGGACTAAGTCCAAGTAAGGTGTAGATCAGAACAGAGGCAACATCTGTCCCTGCTAAAGCATGCTAGCAACCTCTATGCAACAAAAATGGAATGATTGCCACCTCTTATCACTTTTCCTTGAAAATGTGAAGGAAGTCACTTTCTGAATGCATGGTGGGATAACTGCAAATTGCTGTTCACCAGGCAGTTAAATGAGGCATAGATAATGCCTGGTGTTGATGACGCTGCATTGACGCCACTTGCTGTAACAGATAGGGCAGGCACCTGAACCACAGGCAGACGAAGCTTTGAAAAAAAGATGACAGATCAATAGGCAATATTTTTTTCTGATATCAAAATACAACAATATTCAGCAATAGAAAGCTTAAAAATATTAAAGACATAGCGGTAAGTTACATTATTGAAGCAGGATAGCATCCAGTAAGTGCTATTTGAAGTTGGCGCTAAACCAAGCGCTGGAAAGTTTGAGGGATCCTTGAAGTATTGACAATATGTTTGACTTCCAGTTGAAATAAATCATTATGACTGGGTTTTTTTCAGTGTCTCTACCCCTTCAGAGTAGAAAAAATAGAAAATTCATGGCCTAAGGAGGCTTCTGCTTTCAATGTTCGTGACTTTCAGTAAACAGGTTTGGATTTGTTTCTTTTTATAAGCACAACTTAATGGCATATAGACAGAGTGTCAGATTTCCTCTGTAAGCTTGTCGTGGCAGAGGTGGATGGTACTGTCTTGCCTACTCTATAGCTAGGGATCTTTATGAACTTATTAATAATAACGACACTATTTCCATACAGGAAATGCATCCAGCAAAATAATCTCCAGATACAATACTATGTGCAGACTTTATGTCCCACAGCTGTAGTAAAGGTGACCTTCAGGGGGGAAGAATGGCCTTTTGCGTTTGCTGTCTGCTTTCTGCTATATAGGTCTGAAATTGACTTGGAAACCACAATAAAAAAGAAACCAAGGCTTTCCTTCTGTGCCTCCAAAAGCAAAAGGAAAGTAGTTTTTCATTGTTTTTAATGCTGGGCACGTGATCAGTCAGCAGTCTTCGGGCAGTTTCTCCTTCATAGCCTCGTTCAGCCGTGTCTCTCTGACCTTGGCTTTCGCAAAATCTGACTTCATCTGACAGTCTCTGACAAAACAGGGCGATCACTAAATAATCGGCTCTCGGTGACAGGAAGTGATTCACTGGAGATGGCTGTAATAAACCCAAGGAACCTGCTCCGCCTGCGCGCGAGAGCTCTGATTCACCACATCTGGGGCTTCACCAGGAGGCAGCTGGAGAGGACGCTACCACCGCTGTTGGCTCTGCCTCAGCGTCAGGGTCTTCTGTCCCTGTGACAGAAGGGTAAAGGCACAGAGAGGTATGACCGCTCTCCGGCCGTCACAGCCCAGAGCTCAGTGAATCAAGTTGAGGTGCCATCGGTTTCGGTTTTTGTTAGTAAGCTGGGCGGCGAAACGCAGAGGCTGCGGAGTTGAGCAGATAGTGCGTTTGACTTCATCTTTTGGGAGAGGGCAGGGCTGACCTCTGGAGATGGGGCAGGATAGGCAGCCCTGGACCACAGCTCTTTCAGTTGCCACCCTGTGATTCACCAGAGCTTCCCTGAAGCTCCCCCAGCAGCACCATTAAACCGGCAGCAGGCAGTACAGAATAAAGTAGGCTTCAGTGGTGACAACACGAAAGTGATTCTTAATGAGACGTGAAGGCACTAAAGAAAATTCAGACCCAAAGGGTAGCCAGGAGAGAAAGAGAACTCAGTAAGTTATACCCACCCCAAAATGAGCTGCTAATCACTGGCACTATTGTGAGGACTACAATAAATCAGTGTCTGCCCTGGCCGCCTGCATCTCATTATGCACAAACATGCGGAGAGAGAATGTCAGCCTCAATAGCGATCTGTCATGTGAATGCTGCTGTGTCCGAGTGGGCTGGCACTTGCATGGTTGGCCAGCTTTGTTTTTTCTTTTTTTTTTTTTTGGTGGGGGATATTTATTTTCTTTTGGAAATGTTGATTTGCTCCGTACTGTGGGTAGTAAATTTGCCCTTTTCTTCAGTGATTTGTCAATTCTGTGATGATAACATTGTATTTAAGGTGTGGGGGTAAAATATCTTTCATATATGTTATATTTAGTGATTGGGGGTTTGTTTGGGTTCAGGGGGTTTTTTTTCCTCCCCAAGTCCTCCTTCGTGTATGGTGTCATGCATATTACTGAAGCTAGGGCAACACCTACATGTTTTTATGCAGCTGATGTACAGTGCCCATTACTCAAGCATCACAGACTGCCTCGGAAAGGCTAATTAATTTAAGCCCTGCAGCACCCCTTTGAGGCAACTTTTGTTGGTTCTGATAGATGCACACACTGTAGCCGCTCTTTGTTATTTATTTTTAATATGATTTCTCTCCCAAAGAGGGGGGAAAAACGAATAGTTCTTACTTTGTTAGGTAGTTGACAAAATGTTAGGCTTTTGATATTGTTGAAATAAAGTATGTAGCAAACTTTGGATTTTATTGCAAGCCATGCCTCAGAGGTTCCTATTTTCTTTTAAAGCCTCAGCTCCTGGAGCCAGGTGAACTTGTAGATGTCCTTTTGTTTTTAAATCTCTGTGCCTAGCTCGTGTGGTTGCAAAATAAATTTTAATATATTGTCTCCGCTTAATCTAAAATCTGGGATGCAGTGAGGCACTTGACTAAGGTGGTAGGTTTGTTTCTTTTTAGTCTTAAAATTTTTGCATGATTAGGACTGGGAATACCAATGCCAGAGTGTGCGTGCAGTTCAGAAGAGAGTCCTACGGATTACTAGTTGGTTTTGTGTTCATGTTTTAATTTCAGAGCTCCTCAGTCCCATCCTATATTAACTAGGTAAAACAAGTGTAACCATCTCCTCCTTCCGCCTCCATGAGCAAACCAAAAATGTTTTTGAACATCGACTCACACTTTTTTGGTCTATGCTCAGTCTTAAACTTGTTAATGAAGGATTCAGCATATCTTCTCCAAATGCTTTATCCTCCTTTGTCTTTTCTCTCCTTTCTGAGCTCGGCCCTGTTTCTCCACTTCATTTGTCAACACTAAACTCATTTCCCCTATTGTTCTTTCTAACTGTTCCCATGTCCACTTTCAGTGCTAGATCCCTAGCTACCTCACGTCTTGACAAGTGATGAGGACTACCAAAGTGGCTGGTTTGAGCTGACTTCAAACCACGGGCAACCCAGTCCTCATGTCTCACTTCCTCCTACAGGAAAATTCTTAATTCCTTAATATTTTTCTGGGGAGCAGGTGTCCCCCTACTGCCTAGGGCATAATTTCACAATCATTTTAAGCCAATCTGAGACCGCACTGTCACCAAGGGAGGAATCGCCCTTTTCTACTATCTGCTACTACCATCTCTTTTCAAGTAGCTGCTGATATGGCAGATTGCTAGGGGTTTTTGGGGGTTTGGGTTTTTTTTTTTGGTAACAGTAGGTGAGGAACCTGATCTGATTTGCATCACAGCCCCATGGGTACGAGTGCTTATGCCAAGAAGCCCTGGGAAGCACCCAGCCAAGAGCAGGGAAAAAGTGTGACTGCTGCTTTTGGTAGCAGTACAGTCTCTGACTGACTTAAATTATCATTTAATGACACTACATTTAATGTAGTTTCAAGGTCTCACTGAAAGAGGTGATCCTGCATCTGGCTGCTAGCTCCCATGCTGTTACCTTCTGCTTTGTGTTAGCACAAGCCATCATGCAGCTGTGGTGAACCAGCCTGGTTACCTGAGCCAAATGGGGAAAGGAGACGTCTCGTTTTGTCTGTGTGGTTTTGTTAGGCAATTTTTGGGCCTAAATCGTCCTCCCAATTAAGCAAACAAGTGGCCCTGCTCTTAGGCCACCTTTCAATCAATGCTTTTCATAGTGTTTATAAATCTGCCATCCTATTTAAAGGCGGTGCAGGCTGTGGTAGGTTGCTGCTGCTCAGGACGAACTGGGCATTGTTCCCATGCTCTCCAAGCCACGAAGCAGATTCATGCTTCTGCTTATTTCTGCTCAGACTTGCGCTCACCCCCTACCCTGAAACCTCATAAGCTCTAAGGCAAACAGTGCTTTAAAAAGTATGCAGTTCAGCCTGTGTCCAGGACGTGCCAGGTTACCAAGACACGTGGGTTGGACCAAAAAGAAATTTGAGATAGTTGTGAACTCATCTGCTCTGCAAATATGGGCTTGGTGGGTTTTTCCCCTTCCAGGAACATGAGTATGTTAAAGCACTTCAGCATGATCAGCTGTTTTGAAGGGGCTGCAGCAATATATCTTTCCCAAAAGTGACACTTTGTATTTAATTTTCAGAGCAACTTTCATCATAGTTTTGAAACTGAAGGTAGTTTAGACAAAAACTTTAATGATTTTTTGTTTGTTTGTTTGTTTAGTTGGATATGAAAACCACCTCTCCTTTCTTCTGTTTCGGCAGTTAAATATTCTGGTTGACACTGGGAGCAGTAATTTTGCTGTAGCAGGTGTGCCTGATCCTGATGTCACCTCCTACTTCAATACCAAGCTGTAAGTACCTGTTCTGCACGGCGTGATGGGTTAGGATGTCTTTTAGACTCTGGCTTCTCCATGCAAAAGAGGATGATAAGGCAGTTCGTGGGGCTCCTGCGGTGTCCCATGAGAACGGGATGTTTGTTGCCGGAATGGGAAGATTGGCTTTGCCTGATGCAAAGTCCCGCCTGACATCATGAACAGTCACACTGGTGGCAGAGCAACTGAGGTCTGAGCACAGTGCTGATTAGAGCTGGAGAAAAGGGAAGAAGATTACAGGGTAAAAGTCACACCAATTTCAGGCAATTTCTTATTTGAATAGTCTTGGAAGGAATTGAAAGTTTAAATATACTTTCCCATTGTTTACAAACAAAACTTAAAACCCAGTAATTGTATCTGTTACTTGACATTTCATCCAAAACCAGAATTAGTTAGTCAAAAACTAATTTGTGGTTTAGTTTGGCCAAGGGCCTCAATCAGTTAGTGATCTGGACAGGCCCTGCTGAATCTGGTTGTTTATGAGGTATGACTTGGTGGGTTTGGTGATTGTTATGTGCTAAATTTGCTGTGTTTAGCATGAGCCAACATTAGTCGCAGCCAAGCACAGCTTTGTCTGTCTGAATCACTTTCCCTCCTTTCTTCCTTCCTTTCTGCCCTTCTCTAGTTTCAATTATTTCAGGTAAACTTCTCCAAAACACAGTGTTTATCTTTAGCTGAAGCAGATGACTAAAAATACTTATACAATTGGGAGTCTGGAGAGTATCACCATTCTCATTACCTCTTCATGTATTTTAACATGGGATTTGCGCTTTTTTTTCCAATAAGATGCACTGGTAATGGAGGGAAAGCCAGCATTTCCATGCTGCTTACTAGAATAGCCTTACCTCCTGTCACATACTCAGATGTTAATGGAAATATTTCACATCTCACTCTGATATGACACAGGTCTAGAAAGTCCAGAATTTGTACTTGAAAGCTGTTTCTGCACTATTGCAGAGTTTTACATGCCCGATATCCCCTTCCATAGGTAGTGGCTAGAGGAAACTTAATTGCAAGGAATTAAAAGCACAAGCATTCCTTTTCCCTTTTCTCTTAGGTGATGTTATTTTGTCTGGAAGGGCAAGGCCTCTCTCGTAAGAACCATGAACTATTAGAAGCAGTAGCAACAGCAGAGGTTGTGTGTTGAGAAAGGCTGTGACATCACTTGAAAGTCACAGTCTCTTATCAGTGTTCTCAGTGCACACTGTTTTGAGAACTTTGATATGAAGTTAATAATGAAACCTTGAAATTTAGGCCCTGAAGAGTTAAGGGTGCCTTGTAAAATGTTCAAAACTCAAGTCATTAGAGTCCAGAGCAATTGCAATAGCAATTTCAGGTTTGGGTTGGATTGATGGAGCAATATGCTCAGAATGAAGTGCAACCATTAGCGTGTTTGAACCTGGCTACACCATGCTTCTTCCATTTTAGATACTTTAAATACATTTAAATAAATGTCATCTGGGAGGGATCCTGGCCCCACTGAAATCAGTTAGATGTTTCAAAAATGTTGTTTGCATGAAACCTCTGTAGGTCACCTAGTACATATCCCAAAGGAGGCAGGGCTGTCACCAGATCAGGTCAGCTACAGCTGAGTCCAGCCAAGTCCTGTAAACCTTTAAGGGTTGAGAATCCGTGCTCTCTATGGGCAGCGTGTTTCAGTGCTGCACCACACTCTCCTGTGGAGGAGGTATTTCCTAACGTCCAACCTGAACCTCACAAAATGTAACTCGTGGGTGTTGCCCCTTGTGTTATTGTCTGGCACTGCAGAGAAAAGTTTGGCTGTGTCATCTTTGTAACTGCCTTTCAAGTTGTTGTAAGCTGCTGCGAGATTTCCCCTTAGCCTCCTGTCTGCAACACTGAAGCCCAGCTCCTCTCAGCCTCTCGTCACAGGTCCTGTGTTCATGGACCCTGACCTATCTGGTAGCCCTCTGCCAGTCCCCCTCTCTTTCTCCAGATCCCTGTTGAACTGGGCTCCCACAGCTGGCCCAAGTCTATTCCAGGTGTGGTCTCACCAGTGCTGACCAGAGGGTGGGAGCATCTTCCTTGGATGTGTTATCCTTGGCCTCCAGATGTGGCCTGGTGTAAAGTTGGCTGTATGCACAGGGCGACTACGGAGTTGGCTCTTATTCAGCCTAGTGCCCACCATCACCCCAAATCCTTTTCAGTCCTTTTCAGTTGCTTCTCAGTCTGTCCTGATGCATGGAGTTTTTTCATCTCAGCTACAAAACTTTGGGCTGCTTCTTGTTGAACGCCATGAGGTTTCTGTTGGCCCCATCCTCCTGTTCCACAAGGTTCCTCTGGATTCAAGCTCTGACATTCAGCATGTCAGCTACTCCCCTTAATGTAGAGTCCTGTGCAGATCTGCTGAAGCCGCAGTCTGTCCGTCGTGTAGGTTCTTGATGAAGATGTTGAACACTTTTTCCTCCACTCACAACCCCTGGGGCACTATGCTTGTCATGAGCCTGATGTTGAGCCAACGGTCGCTGCCCTTTGGGCCCAGTGGCCTAGCCCATCTTCAATCCACACAGTGGTCTGTTTGTTCAGCTCCACATCCTCAGGTCCCAAATAGGAATGCCGTGGGAGATGGTGTCAAAAGCCTGACTGAAGTCAAGATGTGCTACAGCCACAGCGCTTTCCTCATCTGTGTAGCCAGTCATCTTGTAGAAGGCAATGAGGCTGGTCAGGTGTGATATGCCTGTGAAATTCCTCGTTGAGTGTCCATGATTACCTTCTTGTCCTTCACGTGCTTGGGAATACGTTCCAGGAGGTTGTTCTCTGAGACTTTTCCTGACTTGAGGTGAAGCCCAGTGGCCTGTAGTTCCTTGGGTCCTGCTGCTTGTCTCTTTTTGAGACTGGCCTTATGAAAGCCTTTTCCCAGTAGTCAAGTTACCTTCCCTGGTTGTCATGATTTTGCATAGATGGTAGGCAGGGGTTTTGATATCACATCAGCTGGATCTGTAAAATTACCTAAGAGTGATCTTTACCTATGTGTAAATGAGATAAATGACCTATGGTCACTTTTCTTCCACACTATGTAGAACACTTCAAAATTAGATAAAGAGGTTTCCTCTCATGTCGTAATCATTCCTGCAGTTTTCCCCTATATTGTCATGAAGTGCTTCCATATGAAAGTCATAAACTGCAAATTGAAGACAAGGGGAAAGAAGGATTAGTAATTTGTTAGGTTAATGAGACTGAGTTATAGATGTGTGCTTATTAGAATATTAATATTGTGTTAGAGAAAGAGAGTGACGGGTCTGAATTTCCTGATTGCCACGCTCTTAGTTTAATTTTATTCAAATGAACAAAATCTGAAATTAAATGCATGATTGGTTTTTGACTGAAATTGAGGAGGGTGCATAGAAAAGACATTATCTTTGTTTCAAAGGACCCAGAGGGTGTGTTGTTCAGGAAGAGCCCTCCTTGAGCAATTTTAGAACTACCTTGTTAAATGATGTTGTGTGTCATATAATCTGTGTCGTATAATTCTACTGTTTAAATATCTGGGTCTTTCTGTACAAAAAGAATAAAGCTGTTATTATGAACTCTTTCACAGCTTGGGCTTTTGAGTGGCTCTGACAAAACTTTGCTGTGAAAAGTTCTAAGTCTGCTGTGATGATCATGCTGTGTAAGTCACCATGATGTATAAGGTTTTGGGAAATGGCCTAATTTGTCCTGAACTGAAAAGAAATCACAGAGTTTGTTTCTCATGCTGTTCAAAGTAACAAGTAGTTTTTGTTGAGTATGCTACTTATGATAAAAGAGCTACTTAAAGAGATGCATAAAGGGATTTTTACACTTGAAACTGAATTATCAGTGATGGCTCTGTAGCAGCATGTGAAAGAGTGACGTACTCAGGGCTGTCAATATTCAGCAATAGTATTCAGTTTTATTTCAGTGTGAGTACTACTCCCTTATCATCTAAAGTTTCAAGAGCAAACTGCTCAGGAGTTAATAATTCCAAGAGATAGGGAGCTAAGAAAATTATGGGCAATAAGTTGACGTAATACAATAAGTTATATACCAGCAAGCAAAAGTAAGCTGCTGTTTTGCGGTATGATCCTGTCAGTTTGGTTGTGTATACTGTACAGTTTGTGGTTTGGTGTAAATTATAAGCTTGTTCGAGAACCCCTGCAAATTAGATGGGACTTCTTGGTTAAAAATCAATAATTTATGTTGGGTTTTCATGTTTGCTGTGTCTTAAAGTCATTGGCCCTGAATCACTTACCTTGTGCCATCTATCACTAGAGAGGGGATCAAAACTTCTGTTCAGATTTTTTTGTTCATTGCTGTTTTCTGTCCCTTCTTTGCCATTGCTGTCCGTGGAGACATTGATTTGGTGCTTAGGAAAGAGTGAGTGAGTAAGCAGGAGGTCCCGGTTAGTTGCAGAGCGGCAAGAGAGCATGGAATTAAGAAGGAATTGTATGTCTGGCGAGGTTGGTGTTAAGCAGGGCTTTCTGCATAGTGGATTTGCTGTTGCCATGTTGAGCTTCCTTCAAATGAAGCACGACATGGGAAATAATATTTTGGTTATGTTTTGTTCAGTGATATATGCTAGTAATGAGAGATAACTCTGCATGAGAAAATGAACCCATTGCTAGTTTTCTCAGCTGAGGCTTGAGATCCATTCGAGGTTTGAGGAACCGTGTTTCTGTTGGCTGCTTTGGAGAGAAGATAGTAACCAGGAAAGAGAGGGAGAAGGAAGTAGTGTCACTACAGCACCATAATCTAGGAGGCCATTTTCCCTCACCTCTGCCTAAAATACACTCTGTCCTGCCAGAAGAGTTGAACTTCTTATTTTCCCATCACAGCCAAAACAGCTTGTTTGGAATTTTTTGTGCTGTGTGTTTGTTCTAAAACACTCGGCCCATGAATTAGAACAAGTCTCTAGTTTTGACCTCTAAAGAAGTTTTCTTCCTTTAGATCAGTGAGGTGGAAAACCACGGGCTGATTACAGTCAAGAAGATGGAAAAGGAAGTGGTTTTGCAGAACAAAACATAATTTACTGCCACAAGGATTCTGTGAGATCCCTTCCCACATTAGGAATTTTGCTCCTTGAAGGAAATAATAAGGCCTTCTCTTAAATACAACATTTGTGCGCTTCACAAATGAGATGACTATCCTCATACCCATTTCTACAGGTGGGGAGGCTGAGGCACAGAAGGCAAGGAAGTGACTTGTCCTGCCTTGCCACAGGAAAGTTCCCCAGGCGTGCTGGAAAACGAACCCAGTCTTTCTGTGTCCTGCTTCACAGCTCAATCCATCAGGCTGTTACCGCTTATGGAAGAAGAGCTACGTGCTGCTGTTGTTGCTAGTCATGCACCACCTGAAGATGAGCTTCGCTTTATTCTCCCAGCACTCACTTTTCTCTCTGATTTCAGATGTTTCCTCTTCTGTTGCACAGCCAGACGCTTTTCTACATGAAGAACCCTGTGTTTTCCCTTCCTTTTCCTACCTGCACCCCCCCCAGTTTCTGTTATGTCACTAATTATTCAGAATCTATTTTGATTTATAAAATGTACTGCCAGTATCACAGTGGTGCTCTGAAGACCCTGCCTGAGCAGAGATGTCCCTTTGTCTGTCACACAAATGCAGAATTATGCAGAAAGGTAAAACAGCAGTAGCAGCAGAAGTGAGCAGATAGAGGTAGTAACAGTATCTCTGGAATTCGTGCCTTTTGAAATGTAATCTGTGGGGCCTATTATCTCATGTATTTCTGCTGTCTTGGATGTTACAAGCTACTGAACCCTGAAGACCCTTGAAGGGTCAGGTGTTGGGAGTATCAGGAACTGCTTAGGGTTAGAGCCTGGCCTCTTACTACTCCCTCCTTCCCTTAGCTAGGAAGAGGATCAGTCGCACGGTCCATATGGCCAAATTGTCCCTCAAGATAAAGTGTCTGCTTGAATGGATGGGAGTTGTCTGCATTGCCATCTAAAGGTTGTTCCCCATAATAGGCAAAATTGCACCGACTTCATTCTGGTGAGCTCAGGTACAGGGGGCTGTGAAGCCAATTCATGAGGCTGTTTCTGTCAGAGCCCTTACATTAAAGCTGGGTTGATAAAACTATCTGCATTTGATAAATGAACTGCACTTTCTATTGTTTTACACACATGTAAAGGTGGTGTTATGAAATTATTTTACACTTTTTTTATATTTACTTTTAAAAAAGCTGTCAAGCAAAAAGCCTATTCAGATGAACATGAGTCATGGTCATCTGTCTCTTCAGAAGGTGAAGCTGTATGCTGAGGAATGAGACCAAAATAAATTGTAAGGGACCTAGAACTTCTGTAGCTCTTCAGTAGTGATGCGGGTGGAAGATGATTACTGTATTTATACTATAGGATTTTAAAATGAAAAAATCTATTGAAGTTTTTTCTAATGTTTTTGTTAAACCTTCTAAACAGGACTCTTCTCCTTTCTTTGCTTGCCATACTTAACTGCTCCTTTGCCTTTGCTGCCCTGGTCTAGAAGGAACTCCTTCCTTTCCTCCTCCAAGTCAGTGAATCATTCATTAATAATATCCAAATCTACTTACTTCCTGATAGATAGACCAAACTGCAGATTTAGAAAACCTGTGTCTTACTGCTGATACTCACAATAATATTCCAATTTACCCAAAATGGATTTTTTAATAATATTAATGAGGTATTAATCTACAGCTATTCAGTTAGCTTGGCATTTCAATTTTAGATTTGAATTCAGAAGCTTTTCATTTCCTAGCGCCACTTAATACGTTCCGTCTCCAGTTAAAGAGTGTTGCTCCTATTGTGATGGACCAGTCTGAGTCAGGGACACATTGTACTAGGTGGCATCATACCTTAGTTAAAAAAAAAAAAAAAAGGACACACATTGTGAAGATTTGAGTCATTGACGGCTTCAGGATAAAAACAGGGCCTCAAGATTTTATTTCCACTTTTTACTGCTTTTACAATCCATCCCCGTTCTTCTGTGAGCACATGTGATTGACTTTGCAGACTTCACTTTTCTTCCTCTCTGGGAAAAATTGAAATTGAGTATACTTTATCATCTTGCACTGTAAATGAACAGCTCATGCATAAGCTTATGTTTTCCTTTTAAAGGTCAAGTACATACAAATCTCAAGGGATTGATGTCACAGTTAAGTACAGTCAAGGAAGCTGGACTGGAGTGCTGGGTACAGATGTCATTACTATCCCGAAAGGAATCTATGGCAGCTACACCATCAACATTGCTACCATTCTTGAATCGGAGAATTTCTTCTTACCGGGGGTTAAATGGCATGGGATTCTTGGTCTTGCCTATGATGCCTTAGCCAAGGTAAATCATCCTTTCCCCAGCTATTGTCTTTCACAATGACAATAAATAGAAAAGTAACTACTAAAATAAAGTGAGCAGATGATCTGTCAGCATTAGACTCCTCCCTTCCAACCACTCTTTCCTATGTTTGTTCCAGAAAGAATAAATTGGGTTGTGATGGTACCACAGTCCCATGTGAGGATTTTGGCTTTTCTGTTGGTGAAGGCTCTGATTTTTACCTCCTCTGGAATGAATAAGCTTTTACAGAGCTTGTAGTACCAGAGTGTGGGAGTAAGGCTTCTGGTATGTGTGTGGAGGGCATGTATTAGGATATCCCTCAAGACTTGTAGATGGACTGGTGGACTTACTTGGCAAAGTTCTTTCTAAGACATTCTGCATTCATCAAGTAAAAGTTGAGATGGAGGGCATATATGGATGATTTCAGAACAAATATTAGCTACGGTGCTTTCATGAACATAGAACCAAGCACATCCCGTTCTTGTGGAGGTAGGAAATTCAGGTAGAAGTTTAAATTAAAACCTAAAATTTATAGTCTAAAATTTATAACCTTATAATCTAAAACTGAAAACGTGATTGGAATACTACACAGTCATAGTTTTCAACCTACACATAACTGTCTGAGAAATTCACAAACTGAGATATATCCTGTTAGAACAAATGATTCAATACTGCCTGCCAACTCTGGAATTAAAATGCTTTATTCAAGAGTTATGTGATCGTTGTATTGACTTTTGCCGTACTTGCTGTCATACACTGTCAACAGACAGACAGAGAAGAGCTGCTTCTCAAACTCTGGTTTGGGCAAATAGTGTATTCAGGGCATTTATTTTTCCCCTCTTCCAAACACTTAAGTGTTGTTGGCTTCTGAGGCTGCTCTGTGCTTTGTGGAGTAAGAGCACCTCACAAGCTAGCTAGGGTCTCTGCCTGTCATGAGATGTAGCTGCACGGAAATCTGAATTACAATGAAATTGCAGTACTCTAACTGCAAAGGAGAGCATGACATGCAGTGTTGGAAAGAACCTGTAGGCCAGTAATCAGCTGAAGTAAGTATGCTTGGAAATGAAGTTCTTTAAAAGAAAGTAGAGGAAATAAGGGTCACCGAATTCAAAGTTCATTAGAATTAAACTATCTTTAAAAACTGAAAATCCTCACTTTAAAATTCTGCCTTTTAACCGTGGAAAGGTGCAAAGGGCAAGTTACATTTCTCTGTTCTAATAACCCAAAGCCTTTTCCAAACAGAAAGCGTCAGTGAGAGTTTCTGCCTGAAAGTGAAACTAGTATTTGAGTTTGAAAACTGCAATTGAAAAATACTCTCGTGCTTTAGGGATTTCTATGACAATGGTCAAGAGTAAAAATGTTTTTAAAAACAACAGAAACAGAAAAATGACAGATGTTGGGTTTTTTAATGACTTATTGTATCTAGAATTTTCATCACTTGGTTGTCAGAAATTCAATTTACTTGTGAAAAGTGGTCTTGTTTGAATGATTTGCTCATTTCTGCAAAGAAACTTTTTAATGAATACTTCTGCAATTCTTTTGGTTTTTGTTTTGTTTTTCAACACCTTCAAGCCTTCAAGTTCTGTGGAGACATTCTTTGATTCTCTCGTGAGGCAGGCAAAGATCCCCAACATTTTCTCCTTGCAGATGTGTGGTGCTGGACTGCCCGTCTCTGGAAGTGGTACCAACGGAGGTAGTCTTGTGGGTATCTGTCAATCTGAGAGGGAAGATGTATCTTTGTTAATCTCTCTCCCTCTTTTCTATGACTACGCTACTTCTTCCAAATTTAGTGTTTAAATATATGAAATGTTTTATATTTTTTTAAGGAAAAGTTAAGCACTTAGGCAAAACTCAAGTGTCTATTTTCATTCTCCATTCTTTTTTGCTCTCTCAAGTTTGAGTAAACTTCTGCATTTCAAGTTTAATTTTAATAAAGAAAAACATAAATATTGTGGTATTTCCTCAGGGCAGATTCTGCTACCTTTCTCAAACTGAGTAGTCCCTTACTCAGCTGCTAAGCTTGGTCAATCTCATCAAAATGCTACAGTAATTTTTTTTACATGATGTGAAAAGGGGGAGAGGAATCGAGGCTCTTTTCCTTTGTTGTAGACAACATATTAAAGAAAAAAATCTCAAGACCAGATCTTCCGCTTGTTGTTACTCTGGAAAATCTTTCCATCAGTTTTAGTGGGACCAAGAATTGGCCATTATTTATCTGGAATCAGGAGCTGGAATGACTGTTCCCAAATTATGCTGAAATAAGCATATCAGCACAGGAGTTAATCACAAATAGTTATTTTGCTGTGAATTCACATACTGTAAATGTTAACACACTTGAGATAGATGAAGCCCAAGAGAGAACTTGCTTATGTTAGTTCAGTTCAAAGTCTGATGGTCTAGTATGCTCCCAGTCAGCTTCAACATAAGTTTTGATGGAAGCTAAAAGTGATAGCAATGATAGGGTGGTCATATTCCATTTTGGATGTGTGTAAGAAAAATGAAATGTTCTTGAACAGTATTAAGGCTTTTCTGATCTGATAAAGTGAATTTATGATGTGCAAGTTTAATATTCTGTCCCATTTTTATACATTGCCTAGATTAAACCACTGAAGATACTGTTTTGATTTTAAACAGTGGAGCTTTCATGAGAGAATCAGTGTGAGCTTGTAGATGAAGATGCTGGCAATTTGGCCCAATTTGGGAATTCTGTTTGAGAGAAGCACGATCTCTCTAATGTCTAGATGTTTCGTACTGCTTTATTATTGACAAAGAACTTGTCAGTAAAATCCTTACAAATGGTGCTAAATTAAAATTTTGATGCCCTGTGTATCACAATTAAATCTTTCCCTTTTTTCCTGTACTTGCCCCAAAACTAAACATCCAGGATTTAAAAGTTTGTGAATTCCTTTCTCCTTTCCCTTAGGTTCTGGGTGGAATTGAACCAAGTCTGTACAAGGGTGATATTTGGTACACACCGATCAAAGAAGAGTGGTATTACCAGGTTGAAATTCTCAAACTGGAGGTTGGAGGACAGAACCTCCAATTGGACTGCAGAGAGGTATCTGTGATATGTGTTTCTGTCTATATAAAATGCAAGTTTGGTTAAGAAAAACACTTAATTGATCAGTTTTGTCTTTGCAAGCAGATGTGTATTGCAGTCTCCTGTGAGAATTAAGGCTGCATGGTAACTTTGAAAAGAAATGATTGAGCCATGTGAAATGCAGTGTGTACATCAAGCATGCTAACATTGTTTCAAATAGGACTTTTAAGTCATTGACAGTATTTTCAGTAAATTAGGTACCAAGCTACAGTTGTTAAGTGAACAGTCCACTGAAAATAAGGCTGCTGTGGTTTGGAAGGGCTCAGCCCCTTGACTAGTTTCACTTGTAACAAAGTGTCTAAACACTGAAGATAGTGCATTGATTCAAGGGGACAACAGCCTTTAAACAACTACAGTTTATGGTTTTCTGTTACACAGTAAAACCAAAGCAAAGGGGTTTAAAGCAATTCTGGTCAAACAAAGAAAAGGGAAGCTTTTGGATTGACCCCTGTGGAGATGTCTAAGCATGTAATTCATGATGGCAGTGGGCAGGTGTCATCCTGGGGTGCTTCCCAAAGTATCTCATCCTATGCCTCCTTTTTTTTTTTTATTTTATTTTTGTAATCCACTTTTGCTTGCCTCAGCATTGCCAGTTATTATTCCTGATGGATATGTTTTCTGTTTTTATTAGGAATAATGTTCTGCTATCTCTGGATCAGTCTAATGAGACTGTGCTGTTGCAATTTTTATTCCAAAGCCGTTTCTTTTTTTTCTGGAGGATATGTGTGTATGTGTGTGTTTTATTTGTTCCTTCCTGCTGCTTGTTGCTATTCACGTTTTGATTTTAATTCTGTAATTTTCATGCCCTGTTTTCAGTAGACATCTTAATTTTATCTCCTGATTGTTCTCTTAGTTGGAAATCATTGGGATGTGATAATTCTAAAGTTTTTATAGTTCATACAAATGAAGTGAAATTCATGATAGAAATCTTATATGTGCATAAATATTATATTTCCATACAAAATATGGAAATCATATTGCCATATAAGATATTTAAAATGAGTCATACCGTCTTTCAACTTAATAAGCAAAACAAGGTCTATTTAAATGCCTCTCTCTACTATAGTGTTAGGAAAGCAAAACCACTGGTCCTTTGACATAAATGTTTGTGCTCGCTTTTCTTTCTTGCCTTAAAAAACAGTCAACATGTTTTTGAAGAGGAGCCCTTGTGCTAATGGTTTAATACATGCTGTTTCCAGAAAACAACTCACTTAAAAACCTAGGAGTGTTACGAAAGTTTCCTGTTATTGTCGCTCTTTTCTGAGCCAGAGTTTGCTTTCGCATTGTACGTATTAGCACAGTGTGCTAGTCACTGTTACAGAAGGCATGATTCCTTTCTTGATCAAAGGAGATCTTCCCGCAAAAAAAATTAGAGGAAGAACAGTAAATTAGAGCTAGTATGATTAAAGTTTGGCTAGTTAGGGGCTTGCAGAGCATGCATAATTCACTGTATAGGATGATGAACTATTTGCCCTCTCTCCTCTTAGTTGTTTTCTAGGAAACGGAACATTTTTTGTAACCATCACCAGAGACTACTCCTTTCCTTGCCAGGGAAAAGTAGTCCCCTCGCTTCAATGCTGGGAATCTGTCCAGTGTTACACTGCAGCTGTGGCCTTGAGCCTGGCAGACCAGGGCTGAGAGAAGTACTGAGCTGCCAGCAGTGCACACTGCATAGGGTGCGCTGTTAAGTATTAACCAGGAAGACTAAGAAGGCAAGTTACTGCGGGCTGCCAAGTACGCTGTACGCAGCATGAAAATCCAGGTGCTTAGTCCCTAGCCAAGCGATCCTGCTACTTCAGGCGTTTTGCATGGGTTTGTTTTAGTGGTTGACCCTCTTGGCTGTGCCTCCTACCTACTTTTTTCCAAAGGTGTCTTTCCAGGATGCTGGTGATTGCGTATTTGTGGTACTGTCACAGTTAAAATGGACTCCACAATGCCTTGATATTTCTCTCCACTCTTCAGAAGCATTTCGGAGTGTATCATAAATGCTTTCCTGTTTGCTTTTCTTTCAGCTCTGCTTGGCAGCCTATAGCAGCTCTTCTTTCAAAAAGAAAATAACTAAGTCAGAGTTACTTTTTTACTTTTTGGTGGGCTTTATTTTTGTCACTGCACTGAAGATAGTCCATGTGACTTGATAACATCTAAACCAATCTATTTTAAATTCGCTTGCTGTTTGACCTCTTCCTAAAAAGCTTATGCTGTGTATTACCTTGTGTCTTATGATTATGCTATAAACATGTCAGTGTTCAGTTATATCGATCCTGCTGCCTAAGCTGGTAATGAAAGTAGTTAATGCAAACAGCTGCCACTGCTACTTGCCTCCCCTCCCCCTCCATTTAATCATAGTTTTTAAGGAGTTCATGAAAAAAGACGTACCTTTTAAAATAGTTATTCTTTGTTTCTGGTATCTGAAGTTTGCCGAAATCTCTTAATCTGAGGGCTGGGGTTTTAATAATGAAGAGAAATGTTTGCTTAGGTTTTTAGTGCAGATTTTGAGGTAGCAAGATTGACATTTCAAGGGGTTTTGTACTTGGTTTTGTCTGTGTTTTAGTGATTTTCAGCAGTCAAGAGTGAAAGGTGGGGCATTTGGCATTTGTACTCTTGAACCAGTACCAAACACTATATGTAATGAGGCCCAATGTTCCCTGACTATTCTTAAATAAGATACACCAGCCATTAAAAGTAGGCTGCTGTATTGTGTTTAAACTAGAGTGAGTTGCTTCCGTGACAGCAGAGACCTTGATTCAGGGTTTGGACATATGTGTAAGCTACATCAGCATGCTTAGTATCTGTCTGTACTGACCATGAGAGTGTTTTTGCCCAAAGCATACGGGAGGTAACGTGGACTAGCTCACACCTCTGAGAGGGCCCAGGCTTTACTTCTTTTTACGGTGGTTTAGCCATTTGCACCAGCTGTGGTGACACTCAGTAATTTCCTGAATGGTGCAGATAAACACAGTCTTGTGTCTAGGCTGACCGTATCCTGCTTTTGCTCTCAGACTTTTATTTGAATTCAAGCTATCAACTAGAGAGAGCTGCTGACAGGTATGACATGCAGGTTTGGGCAGACAGCTACCCAAAAGGAACAGCTTTGTCATTGTTATGAAACAGTGGAATCTGCATTACATTAACTGCAGTGTGTAACTTTTCTCCTTTTTTCCCCCTCCCTAGTATAATGCTGATAAAGCGATAGTAGACAGCGGAACCACGCTCCTCCGACTGCCCCAGAAAGTCTTCAGTGTTGTTGTGCAAGCAATAGCTCGCACGTCCCTGGTAAGCTAATGTCATTCAATCTGCTCAAACTGTTAAATTCCTATTAAATGATCACATGATCTTTGAAAGGAGTGTCATCTTTGCTATCTACCTTGTAAGTCATAGGGTTTTAACCTGAGGGGAGCAGAATCTTTCCTGGACTGCTCCTGTTAATAAGTGAGAAATGACTGATAATCTTTGATGGAAACAGAAAAGGGAAAGGAAGAGCTGAAAAGGGAAAGAGAGGAGGGAAAAGGGGGGGTCCAAGTACAGACAAGAAGTGTGTGTATGGAAATGTATCAGAAATAGTGCAGAGAGAGAATATTTTGTTCTAAGCATTTCAGAAACATGGACATAATCCCTGTTGCTCTGATCAAAGTACTAAGAGTGGAAAAATCAGTCCTTTCATTCAAAACAGAGTGTTTATAAAGTAGAAAAAGCTGCTACTGCAAGCAGTTCCTTTCCAAGTATAATGCTTATTGTTGTATAAAACAGATGCCATTCATTAGGATTATTCATATCAATAAAGCTGCTTTTGACTTTCATTATTGAATTATTTATGTTTAAAAAATCTTTCTTTGAAAATAGAGTAGGCTTTAGAAGCAGGACATGAGGATGCCGGATTTCTCTGAGTGTAGAGTAACTGAAGCAGCGTTTTCTAGTTAATAAAAAGTATTCATAAATTTTGGCTGAATATAGTGAACAGCGCCAAGAAGGTTAAAGATGAAGAATAAATCCCAGATATTTCAATGTGAACAATTTTAATATTTTTGTCATGGATTCACAATCAGACAGCAGCAGTCATTGCATATCACAGGAAATACAGTAACGGGACTGTTGGCTGGCTGCCAAAAAGACAGCGTATTTGCCTTTATGCTTATAATTCAAGATTGAGATCCTTTTCCTACCCGATTGAGAGCAGAGATTTGGCATGAAGTGTTCTTCACTGCCTGCAGGTGTCCAATATCTGAAATAAATGTGTACCAGTTACCTTATGTAGCTCAGCTTCCCTGGTTGAAAAGTTCTTCTCTTTGCAAAGCACTTAAGTATTGACTGGAACAATTTCAGTCGATGCGGGGGGAATTGAAAGAAGCCTCCCCAAGAGTTCTCGTAATGGCACCCTGGGATAGGGCGTCCTCCTGGGAACTGGGTCACAGCAGTCCACACTCCTCCCTGATGTTGGTCAGGACGTTTGAACTAGGCCCTTTCACATGACACATAAATAGTCAACTGATTGATAAGGTATTAGAGGGGAACCACTCACTCGGCATAATGGTTTTTGTTCTTCCTATTAAAAACGCATAAACTAACTCTTCTTTTTTAGGGTTTCTTTTTAATTTCCAGCACCTTGCTGCTGTACCCCTTTCCCCCCACACACACCAAAAATTACTTTTACCACTCTAAACAAAGGAGATAGTCTATTAAATAAGAAAGTAGTTACAAGATGTAAGGATCAGATTCCAGCTGTGTAGGAGTAATGTCAGGAAAATGGGTATATTCAGCAATTGTACCATGGCATCACAACCCTACTTGTAGCGCTATGGGCTTCTGGCAGGCTATGTACCACTGAAACATAAAAGCGCCTGCTGTAGTCAGACGTACTTCTCTGACCACAGGTGAACCAGGTTAACAAGTTCCAGCTCCTAGCAGCTTGTTACGAACTTCCCAGCAAAATGTTATTGCTCCCACAGGTGCGCTGGGATAACTGCATGTGAAGCGTTCCTTTATTCAGCTCCGTTATAAACTAAGGCTGTGAGCTTTATGCTCTTCAGTGGTGCAGATAGTTTTTTAAATCTTACTTATTTGCACTGAAGTCTTTTAGGGAGCAGCTATAGATGCAGTTTGATGTTAGCAGGTCTGAAGGTGGTGGTTTTGGCAGAAGGACAGAGATGAACCACAGAGGAGTGGCAGCTATTACACCTCACCGAGCTGAAGTCAGAACAGCATATCTACTCACAGCATTAATATAATGCGAACTTAATATGTTGAAGAAAGGAAGGCCCAAATAAACCTAAAATCTTTACTTTAATAACCTTTTAGGTATCATACAGCCAAATCCCCCCAGTGCAGTTCTTCAGCATACAGAAGTAAGGCAAAGAAATGCAATGTAATAAGCAGTCTTTCCGGGAAATGAAAGTAGGCACTTAAAAATAGAGCACTTTATAGAATTGGTCTGTCCAGTTTGGGTGCTATCTTGCAGTTTTTCTCAGTTCACAAGCTCTGCTTTCCAAGAGAAAATGGAAAGAGAGGAGAACTATGTTTTTCAGCAGCTCTGGCCTGGGACTTAGCTGTGAGGGGCAGAGCGTTCTGTCCCATGCCAAGAGATGTACTTAAGCGTGTGTGATGGGTTGACCCTGGCTGGACGCCAGGTGCCCACCAAAGCTGTTCTATCACTCCCCCCCACCTCAGCTGGACAGGGGAGAGAAAAATATGACAAAAATCTTGCGGGTCAAGATAAGGACAGGAGAGATCATTCACTAATTACCGTCATGGGCAAAACAGACTCGGCTTGGGGAAAATTAACTCAATTTATTACAAATCAACCAGAGTAGGGTAATGAGAAATAAAACCAAATCTCAGAACACCTTCCCTCCACCCCTTCCTTCTTCCCGGGCACAACTTCACTCCCAGATGTCTCCACCAAGCCCCCCCAGCGGCACAAGGGGGACAGGGATGGGGTTTACGGTCATCACACGTTATTTTCTGCCGCTTCACCTCCTCAGGGGGAGGGCTCATCACACTCTTCCCCTGCTCCAGCGTGGGGTCCCACCCACGGGAGACAGTCCTCCACGAACTTCTCCAATGCGGGCCATTCCCACGGGCTGCAGTTCTTGACGAACTGCTCCAGCATGGGTCCTTTCCACGGCGTGCAGTCCTTCAGGAGCACACTGCTCCAGCGTGGGTCCCCCACGGGGTCACAAGTCCTGCCAGAAAACCTGCTCCACCGTGGGCTCCTCTCTCCGCAGATCCGCAGGTCCTGCCAGGAGCCTGCTCCAGCGCGGGCTTCCCACGGGGTCACAGCCTCCTTCGGGAACCCACCTGCTCCACCGTGGGGTCCTCCCCGGGCTGCAGGTGGAGATCTGCTCCACCGGGGACCTCCCTGGGCTGCAGGGGGACAGCCTGCCTCACCAGGGTCTTCCCCACGGGCTGCAGGGGAATCTCTGCTCCGGTGCCTGGAGCATCTCCTCCCCCTCCTTCTGCACTGACCTTGGTGACCACAGGGTTGTTTCTCTTACATGTTCTCACTCCTCGCTCCAGCGGCTGTTTCTGACTCTCTCAACTTTTTTTTCCTTCTTAAAAATGTTATCACAGAGGCGTTACCACTATCGCTGACTGGCTCGGCCTTGGCCAGCAGCGGGTCCGTCTTAGAGCCGGCTGGTATGGGCTCGCTCTCTCTCGAACACAGGGGAAGCTTCCAGCAGCTTCTTACAGAAGCCACCCCTGTAACCCCCCCCGCTACCAAAACCTTGCCACACAAAGCCAATACAGCGTGCATTGAGAGTTAAGGGTAAAAGCAGTCTGTCTGTGACGGTAAGTCTCATTGTGTATTTACATGAATGTACGCTTGTTGGCCCAAGAACAGAGATGAGCACCTGGAAGTATTATGTTTCTAATACTGTGCAGCCCTAACAAATATTTCATTGGCAGGTATGTGGGATGGGGTGAATACCTGTCACCTGTAAAATGCCTTATAACTAAAGTATGAGCTGATGTTTACAAAATAATCAATATCAAAGATAAATACAAATGAGGGGAGTGGAGAGGCTGGATTCCATATTTCTTCTTCACTCAAAAGGCAGGCTTTGGCTGTGCATTGTCAGAACAAGATACTCTCTTGGATGTTGCTTCACGTGGGAATAAGAACCAGCACAAAGTAATGCACTCAAATAAGGAAGGTTTTTCCTCTGATCTGGCAGCAGATCAGCTTTGGGGAGCATGAACATTAGAGAAGATGTTTGTCTCAGGCAAACAAGCTCTGTAGGGGTTTTCTTTTTGTTTTGTTAGTGCCCTGGATATATTAAAAAGTACTGTTTATCAACCTTATTTCAAAAGCGTGTCAAGTTGTATTGGTAGTGAGTGGAAGGGCAGCAAAAGAGACAGAGGGACATGTTTCTTTCCATTGACTGTAGCAGACCTTGATTCCCTTAGATGACAGGAGATTTTGGCTTAGCCCTTGGCTTCAAAACCCTAAAGTTGAGTAAGAAGCTATAAGTATGTGAGGAAGGGAGATGACTCCATTACATATTCATGTGGTTTGTATTTTGGTTTCTGTTTTTAAAAAAATGTCTGCTGCTTCAAAACATTGGCGTTTGGTCAGAGCTGTTCAGGGAAGAGGTAAATAAGTAGTAGAAGCCCGTTGATGCTTTGCCTCTTTGTGTTACTGATTGCTCAGGGAAATCATACAGGTCCATTGCAGAAGTAAAAGTAATGAAATACAGATGGGGAGGGAAGGGAAGCTAAACTTGCTTTTGCCTCTTTCCCCTTCTTCCAAGCCATAATGGGTTATGATGCACCTCAACTGTGTGTTGGTTTTTTGCTTTGATCCTTAAAGAAAAAGCTCTTTGTCAGACTTGTGTTCGTGTTTGAATTTCTCCATGGGAATGGAAGAAGTATTGAACAGTAGCAGTGACCATTTACAAAAAATGTATCAAAATACATGTAATCTGTATGTATCACTTTCCTTTTTTTAACAGATACAAGAATTCTCTTCTGGTTTCTGGACTGGTTCACAGCTTGCATGCTGGGATAAAACTGAAAGACCCTGGTCCTTATTTCCCAAACTCTCCATTTACCTGAGGGATGAAAACTCCAGTCAGTCGTTTCGGATCTCTATCCTACCACAGGTCTCAACCTTCTTTGTTTATTCAGTTATGCATTTATTTTTACTATTATAAAGCACATGCTTTTAAAAAATAGGAGCTATTTGTAGCAGTAATAGAGAACTGGCTTATTGCATGCAAAGGAAATCCTTTAAAATGAAATTTAAAAAATAAAATTTTAAATGGGGAAAATAACAAACTTGTCAAACCTAAACCCAAAAAAAGAAAAACACAGTTTCCCTCTGAGTGTAATCTCAGTTGGGAATGGTTTTTTCAAATTGTCAGGAAAAATAGGCAACTTTTTGTTTTGTTTTTCATGAGCTTTAGCCACATCAGATGTCAATACAGAATGTCTCTGCTCATTTTGACCTTCTCATTTTGGGAAGCAAATTGATTTATTTTTCGTGGCATTCTGAGTTGAAGCACTTCTTCTGAATATGTCAGTCTTGGCAATGAGCCTATGTGATCTCTTCACCAGTTTCTGTAACTTGGTTGGTTTATCTTTTATTAATATTCCATCCCAGCTTTTAGAATATAATGTGCCACTTTTATTTTTCCTTTCTGGCTTCCCCTCCCAGTATAGGTTGCAATACAGGCTAGTATCTTCTAGCATTACTAATACAGTCTTCTACCTCAGGGGATGGTCAAGAGCAAAGGGGAGAATGAACCTATTAAGTACATTTTAACTTGAAATATAGTAAAGCCTAATGGTAAGCTTTTTCTGTATTGATCATGTAGCTTGGCAATCTTTCATCTTCCCTGAGGAGACAAGGGGTAAAATGTGACTTGAATTTATGAATCTAGAACCTTGAAGCTGACACTGAATGCTATCTGAATCAATTCCATCCTGATAATTTTTTAAATAATAAAATTATTCTCTAATTTGAGTTCATATCCCAAGTTCTTTCTCAGCTATCCTTCCCTTATGGAAAATACAATAAAAAGTGGTTCTCATGAATTTGCTGTTGACCTTCACATAGTGACTGACTGTGTTCAAATTTAAGCTTAGAATCCAAGACCTTCACCTCTTACCTGCATGTAAGCTTTGACCAGTTTTAAATCATGTACAGAAATCTGTTTGCCCCTATTCATTCTCTATTTCCAGTGGAGTTTGAGTGCTTGAATATAAAAATCAAAAGATCTGAACTTCTAAGTACTGTGTAGTGTTGCTTCTTACACTCTGGCTTTTTTTTTTTTTTTTTTTTCCCCCCATAGCTTTATATTCAACCCATTCTTGGAATAGGAGAGAATTTACAGTGCTACCGATTCGGCATCTCTTCCTCCACAAATGCTCTAGTTATTGGTGCTACAGTCATGGAAGGTTTCTATGTAATATTTGACAGAGCCCAGAGGAGAGTGGGCTTTGCAGTGAGTCCGTGTGCAGGTAAGAGAAATATTGTTCAGGACTTGGTGAGTGAGGAAACACCTGCTCTCTCAGAGAAACACATTTGCCACTTACCTGATGGGGAAAAGCATGGTTACTCATGAAGTGCGAAGGGTATATTTTTGAGCAATCCCAAGCTATTCAGATTTCAAGGGGAGAAAAAAGAAAGCTGTATTGCACGCAACAGTCTTTGGCATGAAGTAAATCAGCCTCAGCTCTGGGCATCTTAGCTGCATTCTTCCTCTGAGAGGAGATCTTCTTTCTGAGACATCTGTCTGTGTGTGCAGTTTCCCCAACAGTTACATGAGACAAGTCCCTGTTTTTAATGCAGCTTCATTTTTATGTAGTTTTTGTTCTAAAAGAATTCTTCAACTAACTTTTGCAATATGCAGTGAAGTACCTTACTAGCGCTTTTCATGTAAATTGTGCCTTTTCAGCCTCTCAGAAATACTCAAAGAAAGAGCTAAGATGAAAATGGGATTCAAATTAAGACTTGTGGTGTTTGTGTTGGTTCTAAACAAATAGTTTTCTCAGTGTAAGTAGAAAGCCGTTAATTTTTTAATTAGCTGCTGAGAAAATGTGGAAAAGCTCATAATTTTGGCTGATTTTACAGTGCTGGTTACCTTTCTTGCTTTTTCATGATTTCTCCTGTCTCACCACAAGTAGCTAAAACCAAAAGTTTTGGGGTTTCCTCCCCTTGTTGATGAGACATTGCTTTGGCACCACAAGAACATACAAGTGAGAGAGGAGGGAAAGAATGTGCACTCATATGCAAGTCTCTGTCCCAAACAGAAGTGGTCTATGCCCTGAAAAATATTGTATCATCTGAGATTTGCATGAGAAAAGGACTATGATGGACAGTGCTTATTTCTCCCCCAGTTTTATGTTAGAGAGGGTAAAGGCAGTAAGTACTTGAGTGCTTAATGCGACTAGGTAATTGAGGGAGAGACTAGCTAGCTGAGTTGTAGCTCCAGGGCATTTTAAAAGCTTTTTTTTTTTTTTAAATCTCCCCATTGTTAATGGGTTCAAAATTGTCGTCTTTGAGCTTGCTACGAAAGAAAATCTGGATATTGATGTGGGTTGCTTAATGAAGACCTCTATGAGGTACCAGGCAGTGATGAAAGACACATTTTGAATGCATCTGGAAGGAGAGTGTAACTAGACAAATACTGCAGACCAGGTTTTCCTGCCTTTCCTTCTTCCTTGTGCTTCCTGACTGCAATTTTAGCAAGCGTAGAGCTGCCTCCTGTCCCTGCCATGCTGCAGCTGTGAATGGAGAGGGGCGGGGGCACTTTGACAGAACATATTGACCGACATGTGGTGAGCAGGGGACACAAGCCAGCTGGTGCCTGTAAGAACTGCTTTGAGGGCACATCTTTGTTGAGAAAAAGAGTCAGGGAACCATGATAACACCTTAATGTTAATATTGCTACGTAGAAGCATTGAGTTTGGCCACTTCGTGTAGTTCTGCCAGCCTTGTCTAGAGAGGAACTGAGCTTGCTGAAGAGAAATGAAATCTGAATTTGCATGAGCTTGGACACATGATGATACCCAGCTGGTGCTAGAAGGCATTTCCTCCTTGTTTCTTTGTCCATGTTTCATGCATACGTCTAAGCTAGCATCGTGGGAACTTAGCTTCTTGAGAGATCAGATGATACAAGCCACTGACTGAGACAAGATATACTGATTTGTCAGACTCTGCTCACACGAAGTAGATGACGTTTTGCTGGATGTGCCAGTTATTCTGAATTCACTTCTTCACAGCTTGTGGTTTCCATATTTAACACTACTTTCATCAGAAAACCACAACTGTGAGTGGTTAGCAGTCAGTGCAATGTGAGGGATTAAGCTGCCTAACTGGCTTCCTGTGGAGGCCAGCCATGTCCTCCATAGCAACTGTATTAATGTAATTTATTTGGAGCTTTTTAGGCTGTTCGTGGGTATAAATTAAATTGAATTACTGGTGGCATAGATCTTCAGAAACAGAGAAATATAAAAGACCATTTGGTGTGGCTTTGCAATGACCTATGCTTTCTTGTTTACAATAGAATGTTAACACTAAATTTAAGCCCATGTTTATATAAAATGTTAAATGGGTATGTGCTGAATACAAAAATGAGGAGAACGGGACTAAAAGCCTTACTTCATTGAACTCCCAAGTTTCTATTCAGACTTGGCTAGAGATGAGAACTGGTTTATCCCACAATATTCCTTGCATCATTTTCATTCTCCAGGATGTACCAAGAGTGAGGATAGTTAGATAGATGGCTGCAGGAAGCTATTCCATTGTAGCATGAAAAGAAATTTGCTTTTTCCTCAGTATGTGAAAGCCTTTAAGACTTCTTCAGCCTGTTACTAATTTCAAATTGTTTCAAGTTGCCTGTTGATAATTTCAGGGATAACCTACTGTTTACAGGATGACTAGGAAAGGTTTTGGATCAGGTCCCTTCTTGAGACAAGATGTTCAGATCAACTAGTTAGTATTAGTGAAGCAACCTAATGGTACCTTGGTATTGAGCAGAATTACTCCCCTAGTATTTTTGTAGTAAGTGACAAGATCATAGGAGCAAGACTTGGGTATTTTTTAGGGAAGAAATGCACCAAGCACTGTAATCATAAATTACGTCTACACTAAACTGTGATGAGACAGAATGCACCCAAATTTGCGGGCACTAAACTCGAGAGAATGGATGGCATGATGAATAGCAGAGCTTCAGTCCAGAAGGACGTTGGTAACCTGGAGTACTGGACAGCAGAAACCTCAAGAGTTTCAGTGTACAGAAGTGCAAAGTTCTGCACCTCGAGCAGAAAAACACCACGCGTGGGTACAGTCTGGGAAGGGACCAGCTGAACAGCAGCCCTGTGGAAAAAGAACTGGGGATTACGGTGGGCCTAAAGTTGAATGCAAGCCAAGGGTGAGTGCAAGTGTAACTACATAACAAAGGGTAACATCCACCAGTTACATTCAGGAAGGTTCAAGTTGGACATGAGGAATTTCTTCTTCACCAGGAGAGTGGTATGGCACTGAAACAGGCTGCCCAGAGGGATCATGGGGTCTCCATCCTCAGGGTTTTACAAGACCTGGCTGGATAAAGCTACAGCTGACCTGATCTATTGATGGTGACGGTGCCGCTCTGACTAGGAGGCTGGACTAGGTGACTTCCAGGGGCCCCTTCCAAGCAGCATGTCCTGGTGTCAGCTGGGATAGAGTTAATATTCTTCATAGTAGCTGGTACAGTGTGTTTTGGACTTAGTGTGAGAATAATGTTGGTAACACACTGATGTTTTAGTTGTTGCTAAGTAGCTCTTATCCTAAGTTGAGGATTTTTCAGTTTCCCATGCTCTGCCAGCACGCAGGTGCACAAGAAGCTGAGAGGGAGCATGGGCAGGACAGCTGACCCGAACTAGCCAAAGGGATATTCCATACCATAGGATGTCATGCCCAGTATATGAACTGGGGGAGTTGGCCAGGAGGGGTGGACCGCTGCTCAGGCATCGGTCAGCGGGTCGTGACCAACTGCATTGTGCATCCCTTGTCTTTTCTTGGGTGGTTGTTTTGGGTGGGATTTTTTTGTTATATTCCTTTTCATGACTATTATTATTATATTTTTATTATTATTATTATTGTTAGTATTTTATTTTATTTTAGTTATTAAACTGTTCTTATCTCAACCCACAAGTTTTACTTTTTTTCAATTCTCGTCCCCATCCCAGTGGGAGGGAGGAGGAGTGAGCAAGCGGCTGCAGGGTGCTTAGTTGCTGGCTGGGGTTAAACCATGACACAGCACTTTACAATTTTATGATAAATTTGATCTAACTTCAAGTTTGTTTCCTTTCCAAACCACCCAAGATGGTGAGTGAGTGAGAGCGTGTTTGAGTTCTACACAAATGTTATAAAATAGCATTTTTCCAGAGGTGCCATTTTTGGTTTTTGTAATCATCAATACTGAAGAAAATCCCATTTATTCAAGGTCAAGAATTTATTGTAGGTAGCCACCACCAAATGTTCTAATCAAAAAATGCCAAAATATCCTAATTCAGCTAATGTGTAATATGCTAAGTGTGTGTGACTGTTAGTTTATGTTAATGGCTTGTTTGAACATTTTAGGCAAATTTCCCCTCTTTTGATGTCCTCTCAGTTTCTTTGGGGGTGGAAGAGAGTGAGGGAAAACTTTTCTTTTTGGAGGGAAGAAAGCAGAGGCTGTGCTGCTATCAGGCATTCTCAAAATTTAATTTAAAATGTTAGCCACTATGGCAACAGTTTTGTATTGCCTTTTTTAATAGGCGTAATTATGTACTCAAGCCAAATAATGACTAATTAGGGACTCTTTATTTTCAAAGCTATCTCCAAGGTAGAAAATTGTCCTGCTTTTTTTTTTTTCCCACTTCTTCAAAATACTAACCTCCTGAGTAGTAATACTTATGCCTTGCATTTCACATTAGTATTAAAAGTGGTTTAGTTTGGTTTTACTGCAGGACTTCACGGAGACAGATGAACTGGTGTGAGGGGGTGAAATGTCCAGAAGAAACAATTGCATGGTAGACAAAGTTCAATAATGGGACTCGGAACAAAACAGATTCTGCCACGGACCTTCTAGATAGTCTTTTACAAGTATGTCTGCTCCTGTGCAGCTGCCTTGCCATATACCTATGTAACAGCAGTGTCTTGGCAAAGATATGCTGATGATACAGGGTGCACAGGCCAGTTTATTACCATCTGATGAGTTGGAAGAGTACGTGTTTGGTATCCACCAGTGTTAGGGTGGTTGTGGGTACAGCCTCAGCTTTCACCCAGTCTAACAGCCTTTTGCTGCTAAAGGAGTCTTCCTACACTCGCAGCTGGAAAAGGGGTTGGTTCAGTTGAGTGATCCTGCAGAAAATTCCTCGTTTCGGCATTTTGTTTGTTATGACAGGTTGGTTTTCCATCAGATCAGAGAGCTGCCCTGACTCTCCTTGCAGGCTGCCAGTCACTAGCACCAATACAAAAGAGGCAGTGAGGGACAGGAGTGAGGGAGAGCAGGACTGTCTCTTGCAGCAGCAGCCTGCAATTAAGTTGAATTAAGTCTAATGAGACTTAAACCTTAAAATAATATGAGGTATTGGGAGGCCAGGGACTGCATATCAACTAAAATCTCTCCCAATAAATTGTAGATAAAGCAGCCCACCTATTCTGCATTTGTTTCTCCACAGAGAACCTTAAAGGCCACCTTCCTGCCTTTCCAAAGCCCAGGCTCCCCTCTTCCTTCCAAAGGGTATTTTATGCTAATCTCTTTAAACATGCTTTCAGGAGTTGTGTCTAAGATGTGTGTAAATAAGAGATACTGTTTTCAGTAGGCAGGATCACTTACAATTTGGCAAGAGTGTCTCTGTGTATGAAATGAACAAGAAATAAAGCAGGAAGGTTAAAACTGAGGCCTTTATAAGAAAGACACAAATGTGTCTTGAAGTATCTGACTAGAGAAGTGAATTACAGCTGTTTGGAAGACTTGTTAAAATGCACAGACAGTACTAACTGCAGGCTCCTAGTTGCCCCAAGCAAGCTAAAAGGTATCCATCCTTCCCTGGCCACGCACCTGCAGATATGAAATGCTCTGAATATTTTGTTGCCCTAGGCAACTCACTTGCTCTGCCTTTACAATACACGTAGCCCTGTCCACAACTCAGGGGAACTTTGCTGTGCTTGCCACGGTTACTGTGACAACCATGGGCAGCATAACCCTTTTTAGCAAATACTGGTTTAACAAGTAGGGGTTTGTGATGGTAATGAAACAAGTCACACAGTCTGTGATGTTACTGAGATGGATGGCTGTTCGAAAATGAAGTTGCCGAGGCACCCCTTCATGCTTCTTGCCTTAGCTTTGTCATCTCCATTTTTCAAACTGCTTCGTTAGCTTCTCCCTCCCTGCCCAACAGCTCTGCTCGTTCGTGTCCCAGCTCCTCACTCCTGTCATTGACCTTCCTCTCCACTATTCCCCTTTTCTGGAGAGCTGTCATCCAGCTCTCCCGTCTCGCCTTCCCTTCCTTCTGAATTTTCACCTCCAGTCACAAGAGTATCTGTGCTGCTTTCCACCCCGCACCTTGTGTTTAGGATACAGTCCTTTAAGATATCTGTGAAGCTAGCGAACCTGCATGCTGCTGCCTAAGACCCTGGAAGATAGCAAACACAGAAGATGTAAGCATCATCTGAGGTACTCTTCGAGTTGTTGTGAATGCCAGAAACAAACAAAAACTGCCTAGGCCCTGACCTACTCCAGTGTAGGTGTTGTAGGATTTTTAAGCTCTGTTAAATTGACATTTCTGAAAGGTTAGTCCAGAGAGAAAAGGTGATCCAGTGGCTTGGGCTGTGGGAGACCTGATTAAATGTCAGTTCTCTCATTGACAGCCTGTGTAGATGTGGGAGTGTCATGGTCTCCTTATGCTTCAGATTCCCATTTTATAAACATGGGATTCTAGCATTTTTATTGCAATCAGAAATACAAGAAAGCATGAGTATGCTGAGATGTATGATGATGGAAGGAAAGGGATATATAGGTATTTAGGCTAGATCTTATGTTATTTACTTTTAAATGATGTCTATAGACTTAATGTTTTTCTTTTCGTAATTTCTCAGAAGTTGATGGCTCTCCAGTATCTGAGATTGAAGGCCCTTTCACAACAGCAGATGTTGCAAGCAACTGTGTTTCTACTGTTTCTTTCCATGAACCAGTGTTGTGGATTGCCTCCTATGCTCTCATGAGCCTGTGTGCAATTATCCTCCTTGTACTGATCATCCTGCTGCTTATTCCACCACGGTGTCAGCATCGTTACACCGACAATGACGTGGTCAATGACGAATCCTCCTTAGTGCGTCATCGATGGAAATGAGAAACTTGATCGTGAAGCCTGGGACTTAAACAGAATGAAGAACAAAGTACTTTGCCAAGGGGAAGAAGCCAATGCCTCAGTTCTTTCTACATTCCTTACAAATTGCTGTTGAAATCCCGCCAAATATCCTGCATCATAACTTTTTAAGCTTTATTTTCTAACACTGATTCTGAACCAAAGCACTGTTAACCACCTCTTAAGTGCTACGGTAATGGATTTGCTACTGCAGTACAATGAGCCTTTATGCTCTCAATAGTACCTTCTTAAAAAAAAAAAAGGAAAAAAGAAAAAAACACACCATGATGTTCTTCCACTGTCTGAACAAAAGTGTCCATCCCTCTTTCACAAAAAAAGAAGCTGTCAGTATTTTCTAACTAATCGAGCCCTGACTGTAGAAAAAGAGAAAAAACTTAATAATCTTTCTTATTATTTTCATTAAATGAATACTGCTTTCTGTTTACATCAATTCATTTTGAAACTGTGCTTATGGTGTGGGGGAGGGAGAAAGGTCAGACTTAAGCAGCAGAGAAAAGCAAGTGAGGTCAAGAAGAAATGCTGGTTTATGGGTTTTTTTTCCTCAAGATCACTGCTGCCACTTGAGAGGGTCACCCTTCCTGAATGTTGTTACAAAATAGTTGAGGAGGTGAAAACTGAGAAACAAACTTGTTCAGCCTTAGTGTAAAACAAGACTACCTCTCTTAATTTACAAGGATGCTACTGCTGGTAAGTGTGTGGTTTAGAACTGGTCTTGAAGCACAAGACACTCCATACAACCAAATGCAATGCCTTGGCTTCAGAGTAGTGGATTTTATAAAAATGAATACTTCATGACTTTCCACTTCAGTGCATCAAAAAAAGCCTTTCAGTTTCCCCCCTAGTGTGGGGGTTTGTGGTGTTTGTTGGGTTTTTTTGAGTTGAGGATGACTGATATGTAGAAAAGGCTGGTCTGCATATGCATGGACAGATGATAAAGCTAAGATCTGTGTTCTGCCGTGTCTTTTGGTATTTCTAGTGAGCGTGTAACAAAAAGGAAACAACAAAATAAGACAACCTTTTTTTTTTGGCTGAGCTCAGCAACCTAGAAGTTCAAGGGAAAAGTATCTGTCTTCATGGACAGACTGTGAAGTGAAAGTCTTAATGCTGGCTTGTTTTTCAACTTGAACAGCAGTTGGAGGTGTTTAGTTTAGCTTCACTGGTGTGTCAGTCAAATGAAAAGTGTGTGTACTGACCGGCTGAAAACAAATACGTGGTAAGATTGAAAACAATAGTGGGAGAGAGCAGGGAAGAATATATTTGACCAGACCTCCATTGTACAAGTGCAGATCTTAATGCTGAGGACAGAACATGGTATTTTCTTTGCAGATAAGACAATTTTTCTTGTATCTAGTCAGTGAGCGTTGCAGGACCTCCATAGCTTTTCTGTAACACTGGCGTAGTGGGTTTGAAAGATAAACAATGCAAGGTTGAGGAGTCCGGTGATAACTATTAGTTATCTGGGATTTCTTCTAAAAAAAAAAAAAGGAAAAAAAATTCCTTTGCATTTTGATAGCAGAACGGTTTGCATGCCTGTGTGGGAAACAAGGAGAAAAAAAAGGAAGCTTAGCTCTGAATCTCCCAATCCCTTGCCTAGAAAATTTTCTGCCTATAATCCCTTCATATAGCTTTCTGATTCACACTGCCTCTGCATTTGACTCTGCATGGAATAAGCAAAGATTTCTCTTTTTCAGGAATGGTGCTTTTACAGAGGTGCACGTAATGTGTGTGAAAATAAAGCACTGTTGGGGTTTTTTTAAACTAACTTGTGTATTTCACTTCATAACTGGAAGTGCCTGTGGTTTTCTTTCCTTTTTAACTCTTGCACTTTCAGATTACTTGGCTGAATAGAGTAAAATAATTGGTGTTGTGATCCAACGTCTGAAAATTATTTCTCTTGGAATTAGGAGTTGGAAATAGGAGGAAATTTTGAGTTTGCCTCCTTCTTCCTCTGCCTCTTAGTTTTTAAGAGGAGGAAAATGGTGAATTATAAAGAATGTAAGAAACTATAGAGCTTAGGTGTTTTCTCCATATTCTATTATCCATACATCTCTTTCTTAATGTCTTATAATTAGAATTTTTAGTACACGTTATAACAAGAAGTAGTTCCCTTGAGTTTTTCTTAAAGCAATATACTTTGCTCTGAAAAGTTAGTGATGTTTCCAATTCTGGGATTTGGTTCCATATCATCCTCCTGGGTTTTGTTTTACACAGAACAAATAATTTCAGAGTTGTATTCCTTATTCTACAGTATGGTAATATAAGTAATGCTTCTGTCACCTGTTTCAAACAGAAACACAGTGTGAATGTTTGGATTGATACAGTGGTAAACAATGAGCCCTTTTTCCAATTCAGAAAGTAATAATGCTTGTACGCTCTTAAAATGTTTCTTAGCTGCTTCCCTCTCCCCAGCCTCTCCTATCTCCTTACCACAAAGAGTTTTAGGAAGGAATTTATTGGGAAAGTTTCCTAGTATGCTTTGTAATGACAAGTGAGATTTCTTCTGAGTTGCTTAATGAAGTCTTTTAGTGCGCTAGATTTCATATAAAAGCCTTTCAGGTTTACCCTTTCACTTTGAATGTCGTTGGTCAAGACATTTTAATAGAAACACTTGAATTATAGGAGCAATAATCAAGTAGCACAAATGAAATAGTAATATATTCTTGAGTTTTCGTGGCATCCTTTGCCACTAAAATTTGGCTTATTGTAAAAATGCTGTTAGCGACATCTGCTAGCAGCACAAACTTCATCTCAGCTTGTAAATTGATACTTACACTGGCAGATATTCAGGTGAGTATTGCTTTGTTGCTCTGGCAACGAGAAGAGCAATAGAAACCCTTGAGGGTTCATTTTTAGCCTACAGCACATTAAGAAAAATAATGCTCTTGAGCATTTTTCTATGAAAGATGAAATACGGTGACAGACTACAGTGTAACCAAGTGTGTCTTACTGGTGATGTCTTTCCCTGCCTTTTTTTTTTTTTTTTTTTTTTTAAAGGAGGGGGCTGGGGGGTATTTTATGCTCTTGTTAACTAACTTCAGAGATAAGATTAACCATAGCTTAAAAAAAGGGTGAAAAAAACAAAGCTTTGAGTAAAGACAGTGCTGGAAAATATTCTCTATTTATTATGGAAGACAGGATGCTCCAAATCACAGCACTGCAAAGCATTCCTACACATATCGATATTTCTTGCAGAACCAGCGTTCTAATGTGAATGTAGTATCATGTACCATGAAAATGTCAGAAAGCCATGTTTCATTGGATGCGGCCTTTTAGATAATTGATGCTATCAGTGCAATCATTAGGGATTTGAAGATGTGTGATTTCAGCTCAAGTAGTTAAACCTGAGTTCAGGCATGGGAATATGTTAGTTCTATCCCACTGCCTTCACAAGTTTTAGAAATAATATCATGGGCTTTTTGGCTCAATTTAAACACTGAAGAAAATAGGTGAAGAATTTTAATAAGCCTTTTATTCAGGTTCTGTAACAGAAGTTAGGTAGAGGGGATTGTTCTGGTTTTAAGGTGAAAGAGCTTGTATTTGGGATTTGTATGTTGGATCAACCTAAATGCAATATATCAAGGCAGTGTACCATTCCAGTTCGCAGTTTTGATGCTGTGCGGGTTTACTAGTGGTAATCACAGAGCTATCAGTTTTGGTATCTCTTGTTAACATATCGGTTGCTTAACAACCATCAACTCTTCATCAGCTAAAGTCAACTTATGGGTATTCTACCCAGTTACTTGCTGTGTATCAACTGGCTATGTTTCACTGAAGGATGAGCCATTTGTATACTAACCTTTTCCTTTTAAATATGAAAAGGTTTATGAGACTTGCTTAACACAGCATGTTTTCAGAGAGAGAGTGGTCCTTAAATTTTCTGATATTCCAGAATGATTGTGCTACTGAAAGCTGCTTTGATTTCTGTAGACGTTTCCAACAACTAGGTTGGTTAGTTGTCATAACCTGATCTCAGACATGAGCCTCACATATATAAGTAGTAATATGAGCTGAGTAATGAGGGGGGCTGGTACAATGACCTATGGAGGTGAAAGTAAAGGAAATTATGGAAAGAGAAATAAGTAAACTACCCTTAACTTCACTTCATTAAAAATTTTAAGAGCATAACGGATTGATCCTTTTAAGAAAGGTCTGTACAATTTACCAAGACATTAGTTCCTGTCGAACTTGACGCTCTGATTGATAAATTGTTCATTTCTGGCTGATGAAGTTCTTGCTGCTGTTCAGAGAAGTGAAAAGAGATTGGTAATGGGATAAGAGCAATCTTCTGAGCCAGTCAGATTTTCTGGCTTCTGGGGCCTAATTAGATGTTAGGCCAGGCTTGTGAGTAATCCAGAGTCCTGGTAATGGCTCCTCAGGAACATTATCTGAAATATAACTGTTGGCTTCAGCCGAACCCCTGGATGAGATGGATCCGTACCGCAAAAGCCACTGCTATGACTTGCACTAACTGACAGAGGGGCTATGGTGAGCTGCAGCTGGCTGGTGGTGTGAAATGTGGAGATGCTAAATAATTGAGTCTTCTACGAGGCTTCGAAATCAAGGCTGAGGCTCCTTGCTAGAGCAGAACAGGATAGCAACCGCAGTTGCTGACAAGCTGCTGTAAGTGTAACATCATTAGTTAACCTGGCTTCTTTGGTACGGGTTCACTTGTCTGAATGTTTTGAAAGCCAGTGTACTCTAAGGTGCCTGTTGCTGCTACTGGGAATCATCCACTCACAGGTGAATAAGGGGCACGATCATCTTTAAATAGAATCATTGGCCAGTTACTGAATATTCCCCGCCCCATATAACAAAGCTCATAGTGATATGTCTCACCCCTAGCAAGTCTGTTTGTAAGCAACAAAACAGATTATTTTAAAACCTGTTGACATCACTGATTGTACAGTAGTAATATAAGAATGTTTTGCGTTTGCTTTTTTTTTCCCCCTTTTCATTGTATCTAGGCTTTCGCTGGATCTTTGTAGTCTGGTAGTTTTTGAAATACTGGGAATTTTAGATTAGACTACGAAGGCACATACAGAATTTCTTTTCAGCTAGCCAAAAAGTAAAATGCAGAAGGTAATTTTCAGCATTTAAAAGGAATTAGCCCTTAATAAGTGTTCTTTTTTTTTTAACTGATGATAATCACTTAAAATCAATGTATTTTAGTATAGCTGCTGTCCTACTAACTCACTGGCTGTAAATCTTCTGATTTTTCTCATTGTCTTCTGGCCCCCTTATTCTCCCCCAAAAAATAGTTCCTAAAAGCTGAAGACCTCTATATCTGAAATTGAGCCTTCTAACAAAAGATAGGTTTTTCTCGGTGACCATTCACAGACCTGTCTTAAAGTAGTTTGTAAGGCTTTAGAAATTAACTCTAGGTTGAAAATACTTGCATTAGTATTAGGAGAAATAGAGCCAAAACTTCATCTGCGTCAGTGGTCCCTGAATTTGTCTGTGTGCAAAGAACTCCTTTGTGCATTTTACTACGTTTCCTAGACCTCTTTCACTTCCCACTTGGAAATAAATACTTAACTGCTTGGTCTTCCTCACTGGTCCTGTACATTCTCCTTTTTCTCTGTCCTTATGAAATAGAGGGGTGGAGAGGAGGACCACAAGGAGCTGTGAGGGTTAGTGCCATTCCTTAAGCAGATGACAGCCCCTTCCTTGAAGGCCTTGCCATTTTTTTGTCCTACCGCCAGCTGTAGTGGACCATTACTGTCTGTTGGGTCTTTTTGCTGACTGAGACACTTCTGCTTTTTTCAGTTGAGCAACTCGGCCCGCTCTGATTTTGCAGCGATGTGTACTTAGGCAA